CAAACAGTAGGATAAGTGAAACAAGCCTCACAGGGAAGTTTTGTAATCTCATTCATTAGAAACTAAATAGGAATAATAATTCGAGAACAGACCGGATAGGAATAGCAAATCCTACGTATGTCCAGAGGGCTAGACTCTGGAGGTCTTCCAACCCTACAGTTTCAACCTATTTGTAATTCTATTTGCTTCCCTTTAACTCCGTGTAGGATGGGGATATATGAACTCTCACAGGGCTTTCTTTATAAAAATGTTCAACTAGCAATAATGGCGCCCCAGTTGAACCTCACAAGCCATGACAGTGTTACTGCATGTCGTGAATCAGAGCAGCCGCTGGCAGCCATCTGACTCACACCGGAGTGTTTAGATTTTGAACTCGGCAGGTGGGTAATTGATGGATGGAGTGGAATTAACCAGGCACAGACACGTGTAGGTTACAGGAGTTTGTTTACTTATGTCGCCTAGATAGTGATGACGACGCAGGCGAGCCTTTGTTCCGTTACAGCTTCGGTTACAGAGTTGAGTAACTCTGGTTACCGAAGCATTCAGGTTACAGCAAAGTAATGATGGACGTGGCGCCGGAACGAATGGTCGGGCTTGCAAGACTTTTCTACGTCACTATTTTACGATGACGGAGATGATTGATTGGGAATTGATCAGGTCCCCAACTCTCTGGTGACGAGCACAGGTGTCTCCTTAGAGATCCCCAGAGTTCTCTGCCTTGGGCGGAAACCGTTAAACTATTTATAGGCAGAGGTGTTTGATAGAGATACCCAATTGTGAACCGCAATATGGAATCTTTAATTTTTTGGCAGGTGGCAGCTCTTTGTCTCCTCAAGTTACAAGGTAGTGGGTTAGGTTTCTCTACCTGTTACGTGTGTGTTACGTGTGAGGAGCTTACACTTATTTTTTGACCAATTATATATAGTTTCCCCTCGCTTTTTATTTCAGCTGACCAATTATCTATAGTACTCCAGCCGCGTTTTGTTTCAAGGAATTTTTTGGCAGGGATGTTTTTTAACCCTTAATCGTCAAAATGAGGATGATTTGAATGGTATCTCTTGCTTAGTGGCATGGGCACAATTTAATTGGGTTGTGACACTGCACAAAGGTAGTTCCACTTTTCTACAGTTCAAAACACTGCAGGAACACTGTTGTAAGCTGTGACTTGTGATGCCATTACTGTAGAATCTTCTGATTTTTATTATAAGTCTTTTAAAGAAGATAATGGCTTTAGTTCTTTGAAGGGGCCTATAAAAACATTAAAAAATTACTAAAGTAAAAAAAATGTCCCCATCCTGCAGAGACTTCTGCATATGCTTAGGTTACCCATTTGTGGCGTTGCCCGCACAGTCTACATCAGAGTTAAGCACAAACATAAATCTTTACAAAATTTAGGCCTTCAATTCTCCTGCACCTTTTTCCTCACTCCCTCAGAAACATCAGGAATTTTAATCTTGGGTTTTACTAGAGGATTTCTTAGTGATCTCAGATACATTCCACTCCAACACTGGGTTTGAAGGGGTAGTCACTTGCATGGTATCATTTCTTGCAAGGGGTAATTAAAACATTGGAGTTGAGTTAAACAAGTGTCAGCAAAAATAGCTTTTTAGTAACCTAATTAAAACCCACTTCCCCTGTCTATTGATCAACTTTCAGTTTTCATGGCATGTCACAGTTTAATTAGTCTTCTTCCCATCAACACAGAGTGCCCATATGGACAAGCCCATAATCAATGGATATATTTCACTAAGGCCTAGTTATGTGGCTAAATGTTACAAGACTGAGTGTTAACATATGACTGTTTTTTATCTTTGTGCTTTTCTAAATTAACTGGAGTCTAGGAAAGAAGAGATAGCAAGGACACACAGTTTGCAGGGCTGCATCTGGAGATTCCTTTCAACAACAGTATGGGGCCAAATACCAATTTATGATGCAGGGGGAGTGATCAGGAGTGAGTAATTGCGACTCACTGAGAGGCACTGCAGTATGTGCATGACTGTAAAGCTCAATAAGGAAATGTGGCTGCTTCTGTTTATTTCACATGGATGGCTAGAACTTGCTAACATTTTCTACCCTAATCACAGTTATTCCATTTTACAAGACAGCACCTCCTGCCTTGTTTGTCTAACACAGGATTTTACCTTTGAGTGGGTAAATTACTGATTTTATGTTTTAATGGATTTGTGTAAGTAAATAAAATAATCTTTTTATGCAGCTGTCACAGAAGCAACAGTTACTCAAGAAATTAACTTTGAGGAATACACTTTTGGTTAATATGTAATGGATCTAACATGGGGTGAGCTGTGTAAAAGGTGAAGGAGGAATCACTATCTTCTCAAAAGTAGGACCGAATCCTGCTTGCAAAATGCTTTGCAAATGGCAAGGGTTCCTCCAAGGAACCCAAATTATTATTATTAATACAAATCAGGTCATGGAGCACCCTGAATGTGAAAACCAAACCTGTCAAGTGTAAGATATCTTCACATTAGCTGGATTTGTTCTTGTGGAATGCTTTACCAAAATTCAGAAAGGAGAAGAACAATAGAAAAAAGGAGAAGACCACAGTAAAAAGGTGTATTGGTATAATATTGTTCTAAACAAATCCATCTTAAATTGACTTTTGATTACAGCAAGGTTTCATGCTACTATATAAATTATGTGGCCTTCCAGAAGTACTGGAGTGTGTTGTCTGAGTAGGATGGAAAGGTAATCTGGCCTCTGCTGATGTACACACTAGAGCCTACTTATGTTACAAAGGCTAGGGACAGACATTCAAAAAGCTGGAGCCTGAATTGATTCAACATTTGCATATTAGTCTAACCTACCTAAGTTGAACTGGCTTCTAACAGGACAGACATTCTCTCTGGACTGAGGAACTGTGAGCACATGCTTGCAGTTGCTCAGGCCAGGAGCGTGGGGGGAGGAGGGGGAGGGGGCACTAGAGCGCACCCTCCACTGCAGAGGAGCTGTGTTTGGTGGGGCGCCATGGCCAATTTGGGATGAACTGGCCAGAGAGGGGTTTAATTTCCCCTTCCCTGTGCCACTGGTAGGGACCTCAGCTGGGTCTGCCCGCATTCCCCCCTCACTGCTGCAGCAGCAGGTACCATGGCCCCTGAGGCAGAGGGGGGCAGGGAGGAGGGTTAGTCTCCCCTCTACCCCACTGCCAGTCCAGTCTGCTTACTGTCACCACCACACTTGCTCTCAGCGGCAGAATAAGCCCCATGTTGTCCCCTCCACTGGACACCAGAGGGAGGGGGAATAACCCCTGTCCCTGCCCCCCAAGAGGGCTTTGCTGACTGGCATCTAGCAGTGCCCCTGCCCCGCCACTGCAGCAGAAGGGGGCAGGGCCTTTGATGGGGGCAGCAGTCCCTGTCATAATGTCAGGGAGCATGAGTCCCTTCCCAGTGGGGGTGCTATGCTGAGGGACTGGCAGAGCTGCCATGGGGTTATTCTCCACTCTGTCCCCAGGGCACCACAGCTGGGTCTGACCAGCCCAGCCGCAGCTACTGCTCGGTCTGTGCTTGGGGCAGCATCTGGTAGAATAAGCCCCCTCCTGCCAGGATGGGCCTGCCTGACTTGACTGGAGCAGAAGCCAGCCCAGAGAGCATGCTGGGATGCTGGGGGAGTTTGGTTTAAGTTAAACCAGGAAGGGGTCTGGGACAGACATTGCATAAATTGGTTTGATCCAAATCAGTTAAGTCTGATACTACATACAACCAGGTTTATGTCAAACCAGTTTTGGCCATTTTGAAACTGGTTTATGTGTCTGTTCTGTTGCAAGTTTAAACCAGTTTCTGATCACTTAAACAGGTTTGTGTGTAATGTCTGTCCCTAGCCAAAGGGTTTCAAGGGGGAGAAAAAAATAATTCATCTAGACTATTAGCATTGCAGCAGCTGCCTTATTCTGCTCTCTAGTGTACTCTTCTTTGGGAGCCTACAGGATTCTCCCTCATTGTCAACATCTTCCCAATCGTTAGTGTGGGGGTCATGGCCAGGAGAAAGGACTGTACCAGAGCACTTTTAAACTCAATTGTACTTTGCTTCCACAATTGCCCCAGGGATCCCTGTGACCAGATGACTCAGGATGAGGGGGGTACAAGAGTGATTTAAATATACTTTTTTCCTTCTCCTCCTGCCCCCCCATGCACCAAACACAATTCAGATGTAGCCCAAGATTGGACAAAAAGTATGATGTGCATTTCTCTAAAATGAAGAGTATTAGAATGGCTGACTGCCATGCTGACCTTTCTTTTCTTTACTTTTTCTCACTAATCCTCCTTGCTTCCTGAGAAGTCAGAAGACGTGTTCTTAAAGAGTATATTATTGTGATCAAACTGACACATAGCCCCTTATGAGCAATACTGGAATTGAAGAGAATGACAATGACAGGTAAAGGAAAGAGATAATCATCAGTAACTCCCTCTCTCTCTCTATGAACCCAGAAGCATAAGAACAGAAAGAAGAGAAAAGATCTCTGATGGCTCACAAATCTACCAAAGCCAATTAGGAATGGTAACACGAAGGCACATTTCTATTAAGGCAGCATTATAAAGAATATAGCTGTTATGTTGGGCTTCAGAGCTTATTTTTTGTAACTCTTGCTTCATCTCCAATCTCTAGCCACAGTGCATCCCAATTATTTATCATATTAGCAGTAATGTAATTCAGGCAGGGCAACTGGGGCAGCAGCCCCAGGTGCCGACTTGTGGGGGTTGGGGAGAGCAGAGAGAGAAGGAACACAAAACTAACATCTGCTGCCACAGCTGTGTTGATCACTGGCAGCCAGAAGCTGCTGATGCCTTCGGTGTCCAGCTGCCTTGTTACATCTCTGCTTACTGGCCCTGCCTGATCCACAGACTCCATTGTACTGTCTCCTTTCAGAAGACAATTCATTTCTCTAATGGCAGAAAATTAAAAGACCCTCAACGTCCAAGAAAGCCCCCCAAATTCCTCCCATTCCCAGATTAAAGAGAAAGCAAAAGTAAACAATTACTACTCACTGTTCATACCCACAACAGGTTTTCTCCTCTCCCAACTCTGTGTGTACAAACTGCAGCTAATAACATGATTCCCAGCCAAGGAAGTTCAAGTGTAAGAAACCCATACAAACTAAGCAATGCAATGTATATGCTGAGCACTGCCTGCTGGCAATAGCATGGGAAACATCTAAGAGTCACTCATAACGGCTTTCCCCAGCTCTGAATGATTAATAATATGCAAGTAGGGTGGGTTCTTCTAGCTTTTTGCATCATAGGAAGTCAGTTTACAATAGGCCATCAACTTATTCATGGTGCCAGAGATCCTATTCCAAGGGGCCTCCTGTGTGGATGTAAACAGGGGTTGCAAATGCAACTTTTCTCACGTACAGGCGGTAGCATAACCAGGCATGGACAAGCAGGGCATAAGTGCAAGGTGCTGAGTAAGGGGAGACATCAGAATGGAGGCCATGGGGCTCCAGCCCTGGACTGCTGAGGAAGGAGTCCCCCACTAAGATTTCCCTCCTCTTCTTCCTATGGGAGGTGTTATCCTGGCCAGCAACCACGAGGTTAAGGCTGAGGGGTGTAAAGGCCCTCTCATGTCCCCACAACCACTTTTCTCACCGCCAAACTCAACAGTTCACAGGGCCATTAGGAACAAGAATTGCCTAAGCCTGCACTAGGGATTGTGAGAAAATTCATATATCTGGCTAACCACATGAACACCTTCCCCCCACTGCAGCAGCAGCTATTCCTGGGTGGCCCAGGGCACAAACCCTACCAGTTATACCTCATTATACAGGACAATCATCCCCAGGAACAGGGTGAGTAGTAAGGCATACCTTTGTGCCCAGAAACAGGATGACTCTGTGGCAGCCAGGCTTTATTTTTAAAACCCTAGGAAATACAGACAATGACTTTAAAAGAACATTACAATAATATATTAAAGGCACAATAGCAAACTACAATGATACAGAGGTAATGACGCAGAGACCAATATGGCTGCATCAGGAGCTACTTCAGGACCTGCAAATCAGGAAGCAATTATACAAGAGTGGAAATAAGGACCCATGACTAAGGATGAGTATTTAGGAATAAAGCGACCATAAAAGGCAACAAGTGAATGTTCTATAAATACATTTGAAGTAAGAGGAAGGCAAAGGAAAGAGACCCTTATTAACAGGAAGAGAAGGATATGCCAGATGATGCAGAGAAGGCTGATGTATTCAATGCTTTAATCCTCACAAGAAAAGTTAATTGTGAGCAAATACTTTACACAGGTCATTTTGAGAAAGCACAGGAGCCCAGGCCAGAAAATTGGAGGATTGGTTTAAAGAATATTTAGATAATGTAAATATATTCAAATTAGCCTGATGGAATTGACCCTAGAATACTTATCAAAATAGCTGTTGTACTTTCTGAAATGTAAGCAATTATCTTCAAGACCTCACGGAGAATGGGTTTGGTCTTGGAGAACCAGAGAAGGACAAATATCATGCCAAACTTTGAGAGAGAAAAAGGAGCATCTGGGCAATTATCAATTGTTCAGTCTAACTTCAACATCTAGAAAGATACTAAAATAAAGCATTATATAATAAAATTATGTGCACCAAGAGGATAATAAAATGTTAGTGGCAGACTCAATGCACCTAGTATCATCTGTTCTTGGAAGCTTGGGTGCCCTGGCGTTGGCTTGTACTTGGACAGGATTATACCTTGACATTCCAGCTGAAGTCAATACAAGCCAAGGATCTGTGTTCAAATATTTAACAAATGCTAGACCCTAGAGCCTGTGTAAGTGGTAAGACTTCATTCTGGCAAATTATTGCTGCTGAGCTGACAGATGGGAATAAAAAGGAAGGGGGAAATAACAAGAGCAAACTCTCAAACCAATCTAATTTCCGTTTTTCTTTAAACTGTAGAATCCATTTGCATTTCCTTGGGAAAACGGCCTACTGTGTAAACAGAAAGTAGTAGATGTGATATGTCCTGACTTTAGTAACACTTCTGATGCTCTCCCACATTACAATGCTATATTAAAGGCACAATGCCAAACTACAATGAGGCAAACTAGGAAATAAGGATCTCACTGTAATGAACTGAAAGTCTGCACTCAAAGTGTAATCATGAACAGAAAGACATTTTTACTGATCTCTTCTGGATCAAGCTCTACTTATTATTTCATCAGCGGCTTAAATAGGGAACAGGAAAATGTGTGAACTTTCTGCTTATGTTGAAACACCTAGTGCTATAACAGGGTACAGCCGGGGCTAATCACTGTGCCAAAAGTGCAGTAAAGAAAGGGGTATTTTAGATTCATAGATTGTAAGGCTGGAAGGGATGTTGGAAGATCATCAGTTTCAGCCCCCCCTACCAAGCAGGAAAGATAACTGGGGGTCAGGTGACCTCAGCAAAGTGACTATCTAGTCTCCTCTTGAAGATTTCCAAGGTAGGCGATTGCACCACCTCTGGAGGCAGCTTATTCCCCAGTCGGGACACCCTGACTGTGAAGTTTTTCCTAATGTTGAGCCTGAGTCGGTCTTTCAGGAATTTTCTTCCTTGCAGTAGTCCCAGAAAGGGAGCATTTGTGTGTGAGCCAGCTGCATGGAGAAGCAGCCTTCCCAAAAGACAGTCTCTCCAGAAACCCATCCACAAAACAGGTACAAAGCATTCAAGTCACAAAAGTTAGCCCCATCAACTGAATTTATTTCCACTGAACGTGCCTCACAACATCACTGTTCCTCAACCCAGTCACTTCAGTTCCCCGGTAGACTCCCAGGGTGCGAGTGGCCAGGCAACAGCTATTTACATGATGACATGGTTTTCTGATGCACCATGGTGGCACTGTTGAGTCCAGCATCAAGGAAGAATGGCCTAACAACTTCATAACAATTACTAGTAAATACTTTAGTATTACTTACAGTCCTTTGCTCCACACTATTGCCCACTTCTAGGACTGGTGGGCAATATCAGTATGTGCCAACATATATCATTTAACCCAGAGGGATAACCGGCCAGGACTGCCCTAGTGCAGTCTCTCTTCTCTCCTTCACCCTGTATCTTCTTTCAGAGCTTTGGCTCTGGAGGCTCCACCAGCAGGCAGAAGCCACAGTTGGAGTTTGCTGCTCAGTTTGCTGTTGCTGAGGAGAGATACCATGCCATTTTTTTGCTACATATGCCCACACTGAGTGTCCAAAAACCACCCGTTTTTGGCAGCAAAAATTAGACTGACATCTCCTGCCAGTAGCAGTGAACTCCACTGCTGCTCCAGAACTATATTCACCCACTCCCATATGCTTTTTTGCACATGCTTCACTGCTACTGCCACTCTCCTGCCAGAATTGAAGCCAGAAAGCTGGTAGAGGAAGGAGGATGGGAGACAGGAGGGTGGGGCAGACTTCATTCTTCTCCTTCCCTCCATGTAGTGTCCAGAGCTCATGACCTGCTCAATCACCCATCGTTATATTACTGATTCCACCCAGTTACACAATCACAACACAGAATACAGTCGACCTACACTCCAGAATTGGCTTCACACACTCCCCAGTCTTTGTTTAATGTACAGTACGGTTCACAGAACTTTTCAAGTTAAAAAAGTTACTTGTGAAATGCCTGGTAAACTCTTGAAGAGGAAGGAACTAGCTCTTATTTAAAGAGGAGCTGGAAAGTGGGTTTGTTTTATATTAAGTACATGAAACCAACAGGCAGGTAACACAGCTTCTGTCCCTAAGAGCCTAAAATCTAAAACAAACTTTGTTTTTACCTGTGTCAGGCATGAAGAGCAACTATCAAATGTTCTGTTTCTGCCTTCATTTTCTTTGGGCTGAGTGAAGGCTGCCTCAAAAACTTAGTGCTATACCTGCCCTGTGCACTTTTCTCTGTTTATTTTTTTAGCATTAGAAAACTCAGCTAAATGTTTCCCTCTTTTGGAGGAAGCTCTTGCAGATGTACAGCAAAAAGAAGATTTGTGTGAAACTTTTAAAAATCTAACACTATTTTTATTTAACATAAAGCAGAAGTAAAGGGAAAACCGAAGCTTCAGTTCTCAGACCTGAATTACAGTTTAAACTTAATTCAGATCTGAACACAACTGACCTGTAAGTGGGCCCCTCTAACTTGTATTGCTACGTACAATAATAATTATCCACTTGTGCAGTTGTTTCAGTGGGAGGAAACCATTGAAGTATTTTGCGAATTACAGATGGCTTTACTTCATTTTTAAATCTATTGTCAAAAAAGGAAGCCAGCACCATTTTTAAAAATCTGCATAAACAAAAGACAAATTAGTCATCAATGTACAATGTTCCTCTAACACAGACCAGCAAGTATTCATTGCATTGGCTAAATTTCTCCACTTGTCTCTGCTCTGTCTGCCTAGTAGTTTTATCCCAAATATTTAAATTCCTTTCTTCATCTGATATTTCAAAAGTCTGAAATAAGTCTGTCTCCTTGGATTTTCCATTACTAAAAAGTAATCATTTCAGATCCATATCCAGGCCATATTTTTTGCAAATTCATGACTCAATGCCCATAAATATGTTGGTAAAAACTTGTATAAAGGATTTGGGTAAGAGTTCTATATTAAGAAACTTCCTTTTGTTCTTAAAATTGAATGTGCTTACTAGATTGGACACTTTTTCTGTGTAGAGAGAACTGTTATCATATCTTAGAGCAATAGTCTAAACAATATAGCTACTAACATGCTGTGAGCCCAGAATACTGCAACACATTAACTGATAATAAAATATTTTCTTCATGCTCCATTGCTACTTACCACTATTTTATTTCATTCCATTCTACCCCATCAATGCAGCTCTTTCAGATCTTATATAATGGGGAAATTAGTATAAAGTTAGTAGATTTCCAGTGTGCTAGTTGTTGCATGCTAACTCATGGTACAGAAGCACTTAGTGTATATTATGCGCATCCACAGGAAAACTAGTGTATTGTAATGCACACTAGAGTTTGCTTTGCTCTTATTTTGTTGTATAGATAAGATTTTAGTGTGATCTATTTTACAAAATACCCTTCAATCCAATTTCATGCTTGAGCACCCAATACCATATATAATTTCTTATACTTGTCAGTCCC